TCATCGATTGCACGTTGCTAAGAGATATCAAACTACATTCTTATTTACTGATAATTCTCATTAAACTCTTAAAGAATCCTAAATACTAAAATGAAACAGTTGTCTTCTAAATGAAAAGAAAGCTAATAAAATACAACTATCTACGATTGACTGATTATTGAGTTATGACTGATCTCATGTATGACAAGTCCTTCTTGGTCCTTGATCGAACTCCATCAAAATATTGCAGTGTGTTCATTAGTCTAAGTGACTGGGCATTGAGTGAGTTCACCATATTGAGATGCAAGGTACTTGTAGGTAATCAATGGGAAACTGAAGACAAGTGTTTCGTGCTATCTGATACCAGTCAATAAAGTGTACATTTTATTCCATTTGAATGTTTGGGTGATATATATATATATGTTCACCAATAAGCGAGTAGAAATCATTTGTGTCCTTGATTTATTTCCATTGATCTTAACTGCTAATGCTGTTCTTTAATAGCAACTCGAGTTTCTAATTCTAACTTAAACTCAAAAGTCGAACCCTGAATTTAGCATCTAATGCTAACCTAATTCCTAACTCTAAATCATAAACTTTCATCCCATCAAGGGATTTTTTAATGTTATAACTTATTAATTCATACTGAAAATATCCTAACTGGTTGGGAAATTGAGTTTACTTTCTCAGAGTTGTTCTTAAAGTTGCTAAAGTCATCAGGATGGAATATTTTTTTATACCTATAACCATATTCTGTATGTAAATACCATTCAGGGATAATTAACTAAATTATATGAAATAATATTAATTTTCATGTGAATTCTAACTTTACTAACCTAAATTCAAATCAAATTTTAAGTTTATTTATGAATAACTATGCTCATATACACTTTCATTGGATGAAATAATTTAGATTTTCGAATTAAAACAGTATGTATATTTTGAAAATTTGTAGCTCAGATGGATGATTATGGTGGGATTTCGTTCTCTGAGCTGGATGTTTTAGTTGTGGAGCTTTTATTGTTCTTCTGAACAACATCAGCACAAATTCCAAGTAGAAGTTTGTGATATAATTTTGATTTGTTGAAAAATTATGAGGAAAGATTTCGAAAATGTTTGAAGTAGAGCATATAATTGTATTTATTCTATAATTTTATTTCCTGTCCTGTTTAAAAAGTTACAAATAGGTCTTTTGAAGAAAATCAAGACTTCAACCAAAGTATAATTATAAGCATGATTGTCTACCTTAGATTTTATTGATGAAGATGCAGATGACTGACGATCTGGAATTTTCGTTATCTGAATCAGTTTTCGATGTCTTGTGTGTTAGCAGTCATTTTCTCATTACCGTTATGATGTTGATATCTTTGAATGACTTAGTTACTCCAATAACTGTATAGTGGGTTTAAGATGAACGATAGTATCGAGTTTTTTTATCTAAGCAAATGACAACTAATAGGTTGGCAAATACGTTGATAGTTATGAAACCTTTAGCTCTTGTTTTCCAACGTTGGACGAGCGTTTTATATTCATACCAGTGAGAAAGATTAGAAAGAAAATGGTTCAGTAATTATTCATTACTTGTTGCCTCAGATGATTATCTGATTCATTACTACTTCTAATGAAATTATGCAAATCTAATAGGTTTATTTTTTTCAAGATAGAAGTTACAATTGCTAAAACTTTTAACTAGGACCTTTATGCAAAATTAAAAATAGATTAAGTTCAATCATATTCACTAAGTTATGATCACTAATCACATTTGTTCTAACTGTTAGTTTATACTCTTAGTTTATATATTAGTTCATACTATTAGTTTATATTATAAATGACATGTTAGTAATTAATACATAAAGACTTTTGTTAATGATGTTCACAACTACCTAGTGTACATATGAATTTTTTTAATAGCACCCCATATTATCACTCTGTCACTAATTGAAAAGCCTCATTTTCAAACTAATGACATAATGAAATCTACAATAATCTTTCACACAAAATACAAATATGAATCAGTTTAAAAGTATTGTACTATTACTACTAATGTATTTAGTTAATTTGTGTTCTTAACTGATAAGGAGAAAAGAAAAACATTTTTTACTTAAGAGGTGGTCTAAATCATTGTTTAACAACAACATCATCATATTAGTATTGTATTGATTGTCATATTTTTACGTCTAGACTATGAAAGAAAAATTAAATTTATTTAAACTATCTGTAAACCACAAACATATAGATATTTACATTGTTTAAGGTTATTAGTATTCTATTATATTGATATGTGAACGGCATATGCGTTCTCTCATCAATGATAACTATATTCTACTGTCATTAAATTAATGATATGGTTGTTTTATTCTGTTGGTTAAACTAGAATATTTTTTGACAGATGATATGCAGAATGTTGTCATCCGAGTAGTATATATATAAATAATTAGTTATAGGTTATTTACTTTTAAGTAACTAAATTTAACACTATCTATAAGTATATTGTACGTGAATATTTCTTATTTCTGTATGTTCATATTTTTGAGGTTTCCATTTAAATGGAATTTAAAATTATATCAATGATTATTATTTGGTTGAACTGTTTATTAAGATAATACTTTTAAATAACTGGGTTTTCTAAAAAGTGTTATTGTTAAGATATATTCCTTCATAAAATGACGTCGTTTGATGAACTATTGAAAACAAGTATTGTTTTTTACTCTTTTGAGGCTCCTCAGAAGTGGACATACACAATCAAGGAACAGAATTGAATCTTAAATCTTTAAGTTTCGGAGAAAGTGTAACACAGTTGAGCTACTGAGTTAGTATCAAGTCATTAGGATTTCTAATATTAGTGATTACACAATATATTACTTTTGTCGTTCGTGTTAAATGTATAAAAAGACGTTCCATCCTCGTTTTGGACTACTCAAAAGTACGATAGATTGAGCAGTAAATGAGGTCTGATATATAGATCATTCTGACTGGATGGTTGACATATAACATGATTTTGTCAAACTAAAATGAACAAGGAGTCTAGTGCATTTTAGTTTCAATAGATCTCCATGTAATATTACTCCATCACTAATAGAAACACTCGTCAGAACCCATCCAACTAAGCAGAGAGTTTGGATGTGATTATTTTAAATTTTAATGTTTACAAGATGAATGATATGTACTTGTGCTTCATTGTATCTGATAGTTTTTTTTAATTATTCTGATTAAAATCCTGATATCCAAATCAAGCTTTGATAACTTGAATCCATTTTACTGATACATAGTTGTTGAATTTTAATTTCAACTACCAATACTTGATCGAATTAATGGTTTCGTTGAATGGTTACTTTTATTGAAACTTTGTTTTCTTTTAATGAGAATAGTATTCAGTCAGTTTGATTACTATTCGATTTACTCATTTTCGTCACAGACTATAAATTAAAGTAAAATGTTATATATTTTTTGCAGTCTATCAAACTGTCAGTTATTGATTTTCTGTTGACAAACATAAAACACTAAATCATTCAAAGTTTATATATATATATATATATATATATATATATATATATATATATATATATATATATATAATTTTTACACTACTAAGAATTAACAAGTGCCGTAAAGTCTTAATGATCAGCTAAGAGAGAGGAGATTAATCGGTTCATTGTAGTGATACCATATTTTCATAAAAACTGTTTAAATCTTCTAAGAAAAGTTTGGATTTTATTTACCATGTTAATCAAATTTATCAACTGAATGAAACAAGATGAACATTAACACTCTTCATGCTTTAAACATAATTAACTTCATCCGAGTATAATCTATTTTATGACTTCATCGAGAATGAAACGCTTTCTTTACGTAAGTTAAGTGGCATGAAATGTATTAACGAAATCAGAAAACAACAAATACAGTGGTTACATAAATATGTCAGACTAGTAAATACACGTCTGTTGGATTATCTACTCAAAATTATGGTATTTTAATGATGATGATAAAGAAACGAAGAAATAAAAATGTCATCAGTATTTTTAGCCCTTGTTTTTTTAAATCACAGCACACATTTCTCGTATTTAGAATTCCTAACGACATGATCATTTGACTACTACGAGTGAAATAATCGAGATTGAGAATTACCACCATTCATGAATCACATTGTCAAAAATAGGATTTTCTTCAACAAATTGTCTTCACTTGGTTTATTTTAATGACAGTTTATGAATGGATTGTGTAGAGAATAGTATGGTATAAAATATTTGGATGGAGTTGAATAGAATAATCCTTACTCATGAATAAAGCCAAATGGATTTTGTCCTGAACCACTACATGTACATCAATTACTGCCTTCTCTATTATTTTGCATGGCATGTGGTTACGTAATTTCAAATAATGAGCATTTATATATGACGTATATTAGCGGTTTGTTAGGTATTTCAATGTAGTCGATAAGCAATCATAGACCTAAATTTCCTATTATTTCGAGTTTGATTACAAAATGAACTTAAAATATCGAGGGGACTGATGCCCTCAGGCAGATTCAACTAATCGATGCCAAAACTGTGAGATTACTGGCGAGCTATTCGGTCATCGACTAACCTAGTGCAGGGTTGAAATATCTATAAATGAGTGATAACCAGGTAATGACTTGTGTCTAACCTTTTAGCTCTGATTAAGTTTTACAGATTAAGTCTTTCATTTATGCTATACATTTACACATACATGGATTTGTGTAATACAGTAGTGATTTAACAGGCCTTGATTGCCTACATATTTAAAACTTTCACGTTATAGTTTTTTTCCACGGAAGCTGATTTTATTGAACCAGTGGTAATTCCATATTAATAATAATAAAAATAAAAGTGCGTAGCTACATACTAATGAGAATTTTTTGGTAACAATTTTATTACGAAAACCTCGAGGGCTTAGAAAATGTATAACTTTCATTCTTCTTATGTGACTAACATTTTCATGTAAGAAATAATGATAATTTTCAAAATCCTAAAATTTCAAATCATTACATTACAACAACTCACTTTAACTTGACTTTCAGACATTCCTAAGAAATAAGCTAAACGAGCTCTTTCTGGACCTGCTAAATATTTTGTTTGTTCAAATGTCTTCTCCAATGCAAATATTTGTTGACCCGAAAATGTTGGACGTGTATGCTTTTTTTTCCCATCTTTATCGACAAGATTAAGTGTATTTTCTGTATAAAACAAAAAAATCAATATGAAAGAGCAAGTGTCATTTAATAATCAATTTCTTATGCGAGTAAAAATTGTCTTAACAATTCGAATGCTAAATTAAACGATAAAAATGACAAAATAACTTTTTGCATTAAGCAATGATTTGATCTTTAATGAAAGTAGCGTCTCAGATTAAATAAGATGTTTTATTTCAAGATGCTATATAATTTATCCTTAAAGTTTATTATTCTAATTCAGTATGGAGAATCGTCAATTGTACAACATCAGTCACTTTATATCAACAATGAACGCTCTACATTCGAAATCTGCGATCTATATGAATTACATTACAAGTACATTTTCAAGAATCTGAAATATGTTACCATAATCTATTTTTCAAATGAATTCAATGTCAACATTTGTGTCCCCTAAATAATTACATCTTCTTCATTACTGCTTTGAAAACTTTGTCATGAGTTAATATATCAACTTTTACTACTGAAATTATAGATTTTAAATCTTTGATTGTTATTATTATTGCCTATGTTTATAAAACTTCTCTTCCTTAAGGATATTCTAACTTTGATTTGTTTCTCAATTAATCTCAAGCCTTATCTTAATTATATTAATCAATCTTTGATTGTAACGATCGATGTAAAACTGTTGGTTAGTGCAAAAACAAACTATCTCATTCAATAAGTCATAAAATATTCAAGTAGATATGTGTGACGATAATATCATTACAGTAATTTTTGCTGTTAGTGTTCCGTGTTTTCAGTCTACATTGATCGTAAGTAAAAGAACTGCTGTCGGTCTTCGCTACATTATTTACAGGTATCCCAGTCATCATACGAAGAAATTCTTAGTTCCAAACTCCTGCTTCATATTATCAATATTTTTACGGCAAATACATTATCAAAACAATTCCTTTTTAGTCAAATTAGAATTTTTTTCATAATACACTAGGTTCCTACTTGTATCAACTTGTCTGCAAATTGATGTATAATTCTATTATTATTTTTATTTCATACAAACACAAGAAGATAGACCTCGAAAAATGTAATCAAACTATGTGTATTCAACTAACTACCTTATAGATAATATCGAATATAAGATTTAACCATTTACATGTTTTTAAAGGTGGGAATTTTCAAAATAATATCAAGTTAAACATTAATCATTGATAATTTTCTCAGTTATATACAAATCATAAAAAATATTGCAGTAATGTACAAAGTTCAAAGTAATCTATATCCTTTAGTCTTTGATACATTTACCATTTGTACAGCAAATTCATAAATTCAATCGCTTTTATAAGTTTGAATAAAACAAATATTGTCAGCTTTCCAAAGTAAAATGAAAAGCTTTAACTAAAATGATTTTTATCTTTTACAACTAATTCAAAATTACACCATCTATCATGATAATCCAGTGAAAGATCTTTATTAACCATCAAATAGGGAATGACTTTAAATTGAAATATATCACTTTGAACAAAGTAAAACTATTTGGTGTATTCTTCATCGTCCATCATATTCTCCGACATTTAAAAAAAAGTCTAGAAATAAGAGAAGTGACAATGAGTTTCTTCTAAATATCTTAAGGTTCACTCATTTCACTGTGTACAGTTTTGTACGTCCACAGAAGATCATTTACTTGATTAAAATAGTTTTTTTCCATTTTAATCCTATTTTATTTATTCTCAGGGTCGTTTAAATGAATAACACCTTTCGACTATTAGAGTTCTAGGCTACTTTTTTTATTATTAAGTATACGATTTTCCATTGTTTAAACCTTATTTCTTATTTCTTTCATTTTATTTCAATCAGCTGATGATAACTATTCCTATTTGTTTCAGTGAATTAACCTAAACTGTTTATGTGAGGAATTTAACTAATTTGTAAATAGTAATCAATGAATGATCTATTGTGAATTTTAAATAATCATTATTAATAATGATAATTTACACTTATCTCACTACAACGTAAGTTATCACGTCAGACAATTAAAAAAAGCACGAAGAATTAACGGACTAATATTTACAACAATGACAAAATGTATGTCGGCCGTTGAACTGTGTTATTAATTTAAACAATAATATTTACATTTGAGTAAAAAATAAAATCACATAAAATTTAATTATCGACAATAAACACAGTAAGAAATTGTATTTATTATCATTACTGTAACTGTTACCATTATTATTATCATTATTATTATTATTATTATTATTATTATTATTATTATTATTATTATTATTGTTCAAATAGATATACAAACAAACTTTTATGACGTGTTTATTGTATTTCTGAAATTAATTGTTCCGTTAATTCAGTGAGATAATCCATTTGCATATTGAAAGTATATAAAGTTTCAGTGTCTTAATTATTGTTCCGTCAACAGCATATATATATATATATATATATATATATATATATATATAGATTGGTGTAGACTGATATTCTATCATTTACACAAGCGATAGATGTGGAGAACTATCCTGGGTGAAAATAAGAAATAGAGAAAATGAATGATTTAACAATGCTGTATGGAGGTAAACTTGACGATCACTCTACAAGGTCTGGTGATTCATCTATTTATGGTGACTTTATACTATAACCAACAGATGTCCATTTGTCACTAGTTTATAATGAATGCTGAAGTTGTCCTTAATAAATTGACCATACAGTTCGCTAAGTCTGATTCACTGGTACTTGGCTTGAAATCTCAGTTAATATTTAAGTCTTTGAATTGTGCTCAGTTTTTATTTGAAACTTCACTCTTTCTCTTCGTATCGGAAAACAATCACGTAAATTCCATACGTTCATATGTACTTCTTGTTATTTAATCAGTTTTTGTCTACAATCTAAAATGAATTAAAATTGTATGCTACTGATAATAAATTTGTTATAGCCGAGACAATCAAACACGCTTACAGTAATTTATAGGGTTAATAATGTGTATCAATGAGTTACAACTTTTTGTCTTCTGCCAAAATGTCTAATGTTCTTAGGCTCCATCAAAATTTGAGACTATAAGTGATCATTGACCAAATGTTTTAAGGTTGATTTTAAAAATATCCAGTGCTTTGTTCACATGAAATAAAAATTACATTTGAACTCAAGCTTGATCTAAAAAACCCTTTATATCGGTTAAGTCTTCCAATGAAAGAAATGCAAATATAGTTTGTCAGTAAAGATGACAGTTGATTTATTCACTAACCATGTTTAATTAAAACGAGAGAACTTCTGCTGATCTTTTATTGGGTAATTTTTTTCCAAAAACCAATTCTCCTCAATCAGTCCGGGATATTGGAATAGTTCCACGATGTATTTCAGTGAAAATTTGAACTAAGGTATATTTATTATATCCTAAATCAAAACCAATAGAAATATTCATTTTATATTTTTATTGACATCATGAATGAATCATGGTTAGACCACGTTAAGAAACGCTGAATGGGCCTCATCAGTAATGTGCACTTACGACTCCTGCTACTTGCAGGTTTTGAACCCAGGACCTTTGGACACCTGACCTATGGACCATTGGGCAGCCATCCAACGGTGTCACTGTCTAGCTTTGATCATTCCAAGTTTTACGAATCCTAACTCACTGTCTTCCGGTAGTTAGTGCCAACACCCGACAGGGTTAAACTCTACTGGTCACGTCTTTTTACATTATAAGATTTTGAGCAAAAAATATCTGTAAATAATCCATAATCCATAAAAGAAATCAAAATGGTCATAGTTAGGGCATTTCAAATATCAATTTATGTAATAAAACAATATAAATTTTGCAATAAAGTATACTTTTTAAAAATACATTTCTTTTCGTGTTTATCACTTGTAACAACCATTGTAAGATTTATTTAAGACTATTATATTTCTAAGATCATTGATCTTATTTATGTTTATTGGTTAAATTAAACAACATGATTATTTTTAAATTAAACAAATGAATATTGTAGGAAATACTAAATTGTTTTTAAATGAATGAAAAGTGATATGTTGATTTTTATTTTTCATCTTAGCTATTTTAATTAATGGCTACCATCTTAAGCACTTATGTTATTGTTGCACGTTCTTAATGAAACTGAGTATTTGAGCAATATAAAAAGATCATGATTGAGGAATCTATTGACAGCTAAAGAATAACAGATTCTGTTTCTTCTTGTTCATATATAATATTAATCCTGTTTTAAGGAAGCGATCAAAAAACTTTGCACATTTTCACCATTGTAAATTAGAGTTTTAATTATTTCATTATTATTACTGAGAACTGAATTTTGGTACATCCTGTTCGGATTCTCTCCATGTAATCGGTCAAAATATCAGTAAAGGGATCATTAAAACCATATCCAATGACGATATAAACATTCACTTTGTTGTGCAAACAATTTACTTTATGGACCTAGTTGCTCAGTACATAATGTGTCGGACATTATAAACAAAAGGTGTTGGGCTCGAGTTTCAATGTAAAAAGAACTGAAATAAAAGCACATTCAAAAGGACTGCTGACATCCACTCCATTGTAGTTGTTTTTTCATTAAAATATCATAGATATATCATTTTGATTGTATAAATATGCCATTCAATATTTTATTTTTGTATATTCTAATAGATATATATGCGCTTCATCGAGCTTTATTTCTTTTGTATTATATTTCCTCAGCCGACGAGGTCGTGTCAACTTATGTGAATATTAAATTTTGGTATACCAGTTAAGCAGTTAATTTATCCTTTAATCATGCAAACATTTTTTAGTATACTTTTCAATGTAACATTTCTCATTTATTCATTATATTTTGAGAAACTAGTCTAATACATCATACTTTTCATAAAATCCTCATTAACATTTCATCTTTTACTTTCTAATTATCTTTTTGAAAATTCACATGAATCTAATAACTTTTTTTCGTGTTTTCTTTCATCATCTCATTCTTTTGCTCTCTTCCTAATTTAAATAAATAAATATTCACTTGTTTAATAAAAACTCATCAAATTATTGAGATGAGAAAAAG